AAGCGATTGTTTCTCTCATTCCAGATCCAATACATAGTAGCTTGCCATCCGAGCAGAGCCAGAGATGTGGACGAAGATTTCTGCGGCAGAGACATCATCTGTAATAGAGAGTTTTCCCAAGATCTGGTTGGAGATATCCCACATCTACCCGCAACCGAGCACCAGAGATCGAAGGCAAATTGGCAGTCCCAATATAGGTGATCTCGCGACTCATTGGAGCGATTACAAAGTAGACAAACCGAAGGCGTCTGGAGACCCCAAGAGAGCAGGCGATCTCGAGTAGGAAGCCTGTTAAGCACTACAAGCCAAACATGAAAACTCTGGCGAGGGATGCATCGAGTGTTCCAAACCACTTTTGCCCATTGGACTTCTTCTATCTCACCTCTGAGGTAATGATAAACATCTCCTGTACTATACTTGTCAGTACACTTCCCATTTAACTCCCATACATAGTAATCCTGTTCTGTGTTGAATTCCAGGGTAGTAATAAATGAAAGGACTTGAAGCTGATTCTCTGTTCTTGCTGCGGGTAGGCGCCAGATCCCATTGCTGCACAGAGAAGCCATAGTTGCGTTAAAAGGTATACCCAGTCTTGTCCTACCTCCACACAAGAAATCTTGGAGCTTTCCATAGGGACTCCAGTTATCAATCCAGAACCTAGCGGTCTCACCATTGTTAATACGAATCCGGATCAGAGGATAAGCCACATCACGGAGCTTAAGAAGTTTATTAGCTAACCAAGAGAAGTTTTGAGAAGGGTTAGTAGTCCAATAATTTGAAACCGATCCTTTTAAGATAACTTCTTTAAACCAAGAAACCCAAACTGATTCAGGTCTGAAGAAGAGCAGCCAGACGAGTCGCAAGCAGCATGCTTTATTCCACATTCGAAGGTCCTTAACTCCAAGTCCACCTTGCTCCTTTGTTTTGACTACAGAAGACCATGCCACTCGCGCAGTGTTCTGCGCCTCAATGTTACCTTTCCAGAGGAAGATACTACATAAAGAGTTGATCTTTTCAACACAAGCTTTGGGAAGGATAAAAGAAGAACACCAGAATGTGGTAATTCCTGATATCACTGTCTTGATTAGCAATAATCTTCCGGAGAATGACAAACTTTTTGTTGACCATGAAGAGAAACGAGCCTTGATTTGATGAAGTAGAGGCTCACAGTTCGCCAAGGACAGCTTCCTTGAATTCATCGGGACTCCAAGATATCGAAAAGGTAAGCTTCCACATGCCATTCCTGTTGATGCTTGAATTGTGTCTATTTCCTCATTCGTAAGACCTGAAGCAAAGAAACTTGTTTTCTGCATACTTACAGCCAAACCAGATCTGTTTTCGAACTCTTTTAGCACCTGAAGCACACACTGAACCGACTCCAAGTTCCCCTCAATGAAGATGAGAAGATCGTCTGCAAAAGAAAGGTGTGTGAGCTTTATTTTCTTGCAGCTTGAGTGGTACCTTAGTCGAGAGTTTGCCGCTACTGCATTTAACATGTGGGAGAGGCAATTCATTGCTATGACAAATAGGTAAGGGGAGAGAGGATCCCCTTGCCTAAGTCCTCTTGAACCCTTAAAATAGCCATTTACCGTTCCATTATACCCAACCATGAAGCTCGTTGTACAGATGCAGGATCGCAGCCAGTGTAGCATCTGATCAGGAAGGCCTAAGCTATGGAGGCAAGAGAGGAGGAAGTCCCAAGAGAGTGTGTCAAATGCCTTAGCGATATCAACTTTTATGGTAATCTTCTTCACTCCTTTGTTTTTGTGATAACCATTAATAAGTTCACCTGCTAAGATAGTGTTTTCTAGAAGAAGTCGTCCTTGCACAAACGCTGTTTGACTTGGAAGGATTAGGCTTGGCAGAATTGGCTTTAGTTTTTTTACCAACAATCTGGAGATGACCTTGTACAGAGTATTCAAACAAGATATAGGCCTAAATTCCGTGATTTTTGATGCTCCAGGAAACTTAGGGACCAGGGAGAGGATAGTCGCGTTTGTTGTGGAGGGAAGGAATCCGGTAAGAAAGAAATTTGTGATGGACTTTGAAACCTCAGTGCCCATGATTTCCCACGCAGCTTTGAAGAAACCAGAAGTTAGCCCATCTGGACCCGGGGCCTTGTTCGGATTCAGGCGAAACATCATAGAGCGTATTTCCTCTGTAGAAGGAATCTGCAGCATCACAGTTGTTTGTGCTGGAGTAATCGAGTAGTTTAGCAAGTTGCGGAACCATTGAGTAGGGGAGGGCAAGAGGAGGGGGGCATAGTCAGGGCCCAGCACAGAGCGGAAGTGGAAAACAGCAAGGGCACTAATCTCTATGGGGTCTGTAAGCCAAATGCCAGAGGAAGTTTGAAGCGCACGGATAGCATTGTAGCTCGCTCGAACCTGACATATCCTGAAGAAGTAAGCAGTATTGAGATCACCTTCTCTTAACCAGTTTATTCTTGACTTTTGTCTGAAAAAAAGCTCCTCTATCTCTCGCAGGAAATTCCATTTTTGATGGAGCTCTCTCTCAGCCTGATAGTTCGCCGGGGTGGGCTCATTTAACGCTTGTACCTGCACATGTTGAAGTAAATTGTGAGTTTCTGTAACCCTCTCTTGAATTTTTGAGTAGTTTTCGTTATTTATTCTTTTTAAGTCACTCTTGATTTGTTTTAGCTTCCAGCAGAGCTGAGTCAATGTTTGAGAAGCACTTCCAGCAAGAATCCAAGCGTCAGTAACCAACATGGTGAACCCAGGGTGCTTGGTTAGGTAATTTTGGAATTTGTAGGGACAGGTACCAGCTTGAGGAAGGGAAAGGGCTAGGTTAAGTAGACAAGGAGTATGGTCAGACATCTCATGAGGTAGAAAGGATGCAACCGCATGCGGGTAAGCATCTAACGTGGAGCTATTAACCAATAATCTGTCAAGTTTTTTTGCTGTTGGGCTCTCAGGTTGGTTATTTGTCCATGTATGACAGGGACCCAGATACCTAAGATCAAATAACCCCACTTGGAGGAGACAATCCTGAAGCTCGTACATGAGGTTATCCGTAGAGTTAACTTCAGGGTTTGAGTGCTCAAACGGAAAGAGGATTTGATTGAGGTCGCCTCCCACTATCCAGTTCTTACTATCCAAGCCAAACGTGACTTGGGACTGAAGTAAGTCGTTCCACAACTCCACTCTTTCATCACTCTGATTAGAAGCATAAATAGCTGTATAATAGATTGGATCTTGATTTGGAACCGAGATGATACAGGTGAGACACTGCCTGGACTGAAATAAAATCTGGACAAGAAGAGGAGCTTTCCAAATCAGTACAATGCGCCCATCAGGATCAGATAGGTGGTTAGAAACGTAGTTCCATCCAGGGCAAACTTTAGAAAGTAGAGGGTTTAAAACGGGTTCTTTTATATGTGTTTCTAACAGGGCACCAAAAAGGGGACGTTGCAATCTAAGCCAATTAATAAAAGGTCTATGCTTGCCCGGGTCATTTAGGCCACGGACATTCCAAAAGAAGAGCTTGACACTCATAGAGAAGGGTTATAAGGGCTCTCAGAAGGAGAGGGACCTTGAGTAACAGGAAAAACAAAAGAAGGTAAGGTTTTTTGAGAAAGAGGGTTGGCTGAAGGAGTTGGCAAAAGAGGCAAAGGGTTAACCGAGGCAGATAAGAGAGGAGCAAAAGGGTTGGCCGAAACAGGGAGAGGGTCGTTCTGGTTTGACATGGAAGGAGGAGGAGGGGAGAAAGTTGGGGAGGACCGAGATCGTTTTAATGGAGGTCTAGGAGTAGGGATTGGAGTTGAGAACAAGTTTGAGGTGGAGGAGGACAGAGGGTTAGTGGTTTTCAAAGGGCAAGTGGTTACAGCCTGGTCTAAGTTGACAGAGGAGGAAGGATTCTGTTGAGGCTTAGGTTGGTATTTTTTAGTAGCTTTAGAGGGAGTGAAGGAAGGGTAAGGGAGGGTGTCCTTTAGAGGGGTATTAGTAGCCGGTTTTTTTGTGGTTTTTCGGGCGGGATTATTTTTAGTTTGGTGATAGGCTTGGTTTGAGAACTGAGAATCAGTCTGGGGATCAGAGGGGGATTTCCCAGAATCATTAGGGGGAGGAACATAAGTGAGACAGTTCCGCACAATATGGCCCAATTCCTTACAGTGAGAGCAGGTAGGAGGGACCCAAGGGTAGTGAACATTGACCTCCACAACTTCACCATTTTCACGTTCGAATTCCACCACTGAAGGTAATGGGACTGTCAAATCAACTTCGACTTTTACATGGCTGACTGTCAAACTGACTAAGTTTCTTGTGAATGCGTCAGTGTCTTTGGGTTCACCAACCAGTCCTGCAACCAAGCTTAATCCTTCATCATGCCGAAGATCAAGTGGAACTCCTATTAGATGAGCCCAAATTTGAATCGCTTTCAGTGGCGGAGTTGACATGGAGTGATCAGAGTTCCACTGAGCAGTGTGGAACATGGACTCGCCCACATACCAGATACTCTTTTCCAAGATCTTCTGCCTAAGGTAATCACTCTGGATTCTTACTAACACTGAGCGATTAAGCGGATTATTGTGAATTTCTAGTCTCTTTCCTTTCCCCCACATATAGTTGAGAACACTTTGTATCTGATTAAAAGGAGGAGATTTTCCGTTGAAGTAACAGATAATGAAGTCTTTGTGAATTTCGGCCCCTTTTTTGAAAACAGCATCAGGGATTACAACTCTAGGACGCCCAGACGGAGATAGAGAGACTGGAGCAAGACGTCTGAGTGGCTTGACAGCAGAGGCTCTAAGTTTCTCAGCTAGGGTTTGGGTAGCAGGGGGGGGGGGATTTCCGGGGTCAAGGGAGCAAGGATTTGTGGACGGTGTAGAGTCAGAAGAGGTATCAGCAGGGGAGTTGGGGGCATTGGCTACTACAGGGGTTTGAGACGGAGGAAGTAAGGTTTGAAAGGTAGACGAAGCTTTATTAGTTTGGATAGGCGAGGAGGCTTTGGGAGGAAGAATGAGAAAGTTTTGGTTGGGGGGAGTCTTAGATCCACTTAGAAGACCAGTTTCTAGAGCAGCAGAAGTTTGAGTATCAGATCCAATTTTTAGATCTATTACAGGAGAGGGTAAGTTTTTAGGAATACACTCCATATCCATCGGACTGATTTCAATAGAGGTAGTAGAGTTAAGCTGAGTACCAGGGGAGACAGCAGCAGTAGGGTTTTGCAATAGCAATTTCCTGTGCCCTTTACGGGAAGCAGTGGAAAGAGCAGTTTTGGTCGTGGAGTCAGATAGAGTGGGGAAGTTTACAGGGGAAAGGGAGGATGCACGGTCAGGAGGGTCAGGGGGAAGGATGGGAGGGGGTTCACCAGAAGGAAACGCCGTCGGATTCTCGCCGGAAGTATGACCAGGCACATTCCACACAGTCTGCATTGGGAGTTGTGTCAGAGAGAGATTGACCTCTTTTTTTTTTGTATAAATCTGTCGGCAGTTGACTCTTCTTGAATCTTGATCTACAAACAATGTACATTATCACACTACTATGTTTTTGTTTTTATTTAGTTTTCAAATCAATTATTTTAAAGCTGTAAAGGATATTATAGTTTTTCCAATATTCATTTTTTTAATAAACTTTCGGCGATAGTTAGTTGGGTATCCAGTTATGGGCTCATTCGCCATTTGAGAAGTTTCACTTCACTCTTGGAACGTGAATCAACTCACACTTCCATACTCTTTTTACACCTATCCTCGGTGTGAATATATTTGGAATAATAATTTATATCTTTCATAAGCAATTAAAATTTTGTACGTTAAGTATGTTAGTTTTACAAATTCTGAAAACTATTAGGGTATGGACGTTCCACACTCATTATCATATTATATGCAATAGAATCTTCACGCGTTAATCATTTAAACTATTTCCCTCAAAATTAGTTAAAAATAGCACATAGTTTAGGAATATGTTACCTAATCCGTGAAGATTGAAAGCATTGATCATCAGAATAATCCTATATATTAATGATTAACTAGAATCACAAAATAATATATTTCCATTGGCTATGCTCATGATTCACTTAAATTTTCTGGTGCCAGTTAGAAAATCATACCTATAAATAAGGAAGTATAAATATTATGCTGATTATACAGAAACCAATATATACACGATATGATACTGTATTTTTTTTGTTAGTAAAAACGATCTAAGTCATGTCTTGCGTGTTAAGAACTAGGTCATCACAATGCTTCCTCATAATCAAAAGCATGTGCATTGTGTTGTTACTATTATCGATTACTAGTGGAAAAGTTTCTGCAGGTTTAAATTACGGAGAAGCTCTCACAAAGAGTCTTTTGTATTTTGAAGCTCAACGCTCTGGAAAATTGCCATCAGACCAGAGAGTTCAATGGAGAGGAGATTCTGCACCTGGAGACGGTTCTGATGTTCATGTAATCTAAACCCTAATCTTCTTTTACATCTTTAATTACTACCATAATTTGTTGTAATCGCGATTTTATTTTTTAAGTAAAATATTTTGCTAATTGTATAATATAGATTGATCTCAGAGGAGGGTATTATGATGCTGGAGACAACATGAAGTTTGGATTTCCATTGGCGTTCACCACAACGATGCTAGCTTGGGGCAGTGTAGAGATGGCGTCTCAGCTCCATGCCCACAATGAGCATCAAAACGTCCTTACCGCTATTAAATGGGCCACTGATTATCTCATTAAAGCTCATCCAGAGCCCAATGTACTTTACGGACAAGTGGGAGATGCTAAGTTAGACCATGGGTGCTGGATGAGACCAGAGGACATGATCAACACTTCACATCCACGTCCATCATACCGCATTGATGTTCAGCATCCAGGTGCTGACCTGGCGGCCGAGACAGCTGCGGCTATGGCTGCAGCTTCTCTAGCATTTGCTCCCTCTGATGCAGCCTATGCTAACACACTCATTAGTCACGCCAAAGATCTATTTGAATTCGGTAAAAATCATCCTGGGGTCTATCATAACTCCATTACTAACGCGGCTGGGTTTTACTCGAGTAGTGGCTATGAAGATGAGTTGTTATGGGCTGCAGCTTGGCTTCATCGGGCCACAGGAGACCAAATGTATCTCGATTATTTAACAAAAGCTTCTAATAGCGGAGGTGTGAGGTCTGCTTTCTCTTGGGACGATAAGTTCGTTGGGGCACAAGTCTTGGCAGCCAAGGTAGGTTTTAATGTGATTGTACCCTAACTTGTACATCAAGAAACAAACATTTATTAACACATTATTTCTTTCCCGCAAATATTAGCTTGTGTTTGAAGGGAAAGTGAAGAACGAAGGGAAGATGGCAGAGTATAAAAGAATGGCCGAGCAGTTTATTTGCAATTGTGCTCAAAAGGGTTATAGTAACGTTAAGAAAACCCCAGGAGGTTTGCTTTGGTTCTTGCAATGGGAAAACCTCCAATACACAGCTACTGCTTCTTTCGTCTTGTCCAGTTATAGTAAATACCTTGAGGTTGCACAAGCTTCCATCCAGTGCCCCAATGGTGTTCTTCAAGCTTCTGATCTTCTCGGCCTCGCTCGGGTTCAGGTTAGTAAAGCATTCAGTTTTTCAATCGGCTTAATGACTATGTTAAATTCATGCTCATTACGAGCTTTTAACTTAAAATTAATTGACATTAAGTGGACTGATCCTAGCTTTTATATATTAGTTTATTAATTATTTAATAATATTTTTTGGTCAAAAATATCAAGTTAAAAATGTTTAAAAAATTCTTTTATAATTTTCTACTTGGAATTTCATTCATTCATTAAGATAATAATTTTCTTATGATATGTACTTATTTATGTTACTATAGGTAGACTACATACTTGGGTCAAACCCCAAGAGCATGAGCTACATGGTTGGATTTGGGACCAATTATCCTAATAGACCACACCATAGAGGAGCCTCGATAGTGTCAATCAAGAAAGATCCTAAACTGAAGGCATGCAATGAAGGGTGGTACCCTTGGTACAGCACTCCTGAACCGAACCCTAATGTTTTGGTTGGAGCTATTGTAGGTGGACCGGATGTGAACGATGTTTACCAAGATGAACGATCTGATTTTCAGCACAACGAGCCCGACACTGTCACAGTTGCTCCTTTTGTTGGTGTTTTTGCTGCACTCGCATGATCTCAAATAATTATGACTATATGTATTCGTTTTCACTTTTCATCATACTGTCTGAGTACCTTATTTCTCCTAGACGCTCTAGCAAGTAATTATCATCCTTATCTTGTATAAGTGTAGAAAGAAAGTCAAAATTTGATTATAATAACTTGATTTAGTGGGACACTGATCTTTATAGTTTATATTACCTAGAGCACTTCCAATGACGTATCTATCCAATAGGGTTCTAAAAAAGTATATATGTATATATGTTATATATGTGTATGTAGATGTGAGATCTAATAAATAGTGTAGAACCACTAACAGACCAAATTCGACCCCCTACACAAAAAGTCACAAATTTATATCTTATCATATGTTATCTAAATTTTATGACACCGATCATTATTAGATCTCTTTTATATATGCTCTAACTGATCAGATGTAAATATATGCACTCTATCTATTTTTCAAGTGATGTGTTCATATATCTATACTATTATTTAAGAAGTAAATTTGCTTAGTTGTCATGTTCTCCATAAACTTAGGCAATTTTGTTTATTTATCATATTTTAATATTTAAACATAATTTATTTAAAAAATAAAACGAATTTATATGAATATATCATATTTTAAGAAAATAAGATAATTATTGTAAATTAGGTTGTTATCTTGAAATATATTTTCATATATAAAACTTAAATTTTAAATTTATCACATTTTTAATATTTATATATAATTTATTTATAAAAAACGAATTTATATGTATATATCATACTTTTAAAAGTAAGACAATTCTTGTGAATTATGTTGTTATCTTAAATATATTTTATATACAAAACTTAAATTTTAAATTAAAATATAAAAATATTTATTTGTTATATAACTAAAACGAATTTATATTAATAATTTTATATTTTTTTTTAAAATAAGATACTTCTTATGTATTATGTTGTGATGTTGAAAATATATTTTCCTATTATAAAACTTGATACTAAGATATAAAAATTATACTATTAATAATTAAATATAAATCATCAAAACAATTATTTGAAAAGTGAATTTGTTGATTTATCTTCATGTTCCTATATAATTTTGATTATTTATCAGAATTACTCTAATTTTTTGTTATTGATTATATAATTAAAACTAATTTATATTAACAATATTATATTTTAGAAAATAAGTTAATTCTTACGTATTATGCTGTTATCTCGAAAATATATTTTTCTATTATAAAATTTTAAATTAACATGTAAAAAATCTATACAATTATTTAAGCAATGGATTTAATCTTTGCCGATTTTTCATGTTTTCCATGATTTTAGGTAATTTTGATAGTTTATCATAATTTGTATAATTTTATATATAATTTATTATATATGTATAACAAATTTATATTAATAGCATCAGATTCTTAGAAAATAAAATACTTCTTATGTATTAAGCTGTTGTCCTAAAAATATATTTTTCTATTAGAAATTTAATATTAAGATATAAAAAGTTGTAGTTATTCTATAATTGAAATAAAGTTGCACTAATAATAATATACTTTTAAAAAATAAAGTAATTCTTTTATATTATGTTGTTATTCTGAAAATATATTTTTATATCTTGGTTAGCTTAAAAATATATTTTCTATTATAAAATTCAAGTGACTGATTGATTTGTAACTTCTCCATGATTTTTGTAATTTTGCTTATTTGTTATATTTTTAATAATTTTATGAATAATTTAACATATATTAAAATGAATTTCTATTAATAATATTATACGTTTAGAAAATAAGATAATTCTTATGTATTATATTGTTATCTTTAAAATATATATTTTTATCATAGAAACTAAAAATTAAGCTAAATATTAATAGATAAATATAAAAAAAGCAATGCTGATTTATCAACTTCTCCATGGTTTTATATTTTGATTATTTATCATATTTTAATAATTTCATATATTTTATCAAATAATAAAACGAATGTATACTAATAATATATACTAGATTTTTTTTTTTAAAAATAATTCTTATGTATTATATTATTATCTTGAACATATACTTTCTATAAGAAAATTTAAGTGAATTATCTTATTTAATCTCTCCATGATTTAGACAATTTTGATTATTTTCATATTTTGAATAATTTCATATAAAATTTATTATAAAATAAAAATGAATTTATTTTAAAAACTATATTTTCAGAAAATAATACTTCTTATGTATTATATTGTTATCTTGAAAATATATTTTTATTATAGAAATAAAAAATTAAGATATAAAAACTTATAATTAA